AATGTTTCCACACACATATGCATTGTATGAAGGTCATTAAGTGATGGTGCTTCTGCGCTTTCTTTGGCTGATGCATCATATACGATTCTTAATTTAGTGCTGTCAGCGTTCTCTCGAATCACCGGTTTGTGCGGGATATAAAACTCATGTCCGTTAGGTTTTTTTGGAGCACTCTGTACAATGTCCTCTTGAATCTGTTCTTGAATAATCTGATCATATTTCTCGGTAATGGAAGAGCGATTCAGTTTTCGCATTAGTGATTCTAACCGTCGAACACTACCCTGCTTGTTACTTGGTAAAGGGGGATGGTTACCCTTCCAGGGTAACCCAGTCTCGTACCATCCTGCAGGGTCACGTCTCAGTTGCTCTTTGAATTCTGCGTAAACAATGTCCTGGTCATTCTCTGGAAGATCTTCTAAACCAAGCACATCCAACCGACAGAGGTTTTCATAATCAGCAGTGGAGGTCTGTGTTAGCAACATCTTGTTTGAATCACTTTCAACTCCGGTGATGTTTTCTCTGCAACTGGATCTCCAGGTGAACCGACTCTTTGGGCACATTTTGTTTTGATACGGGCATAGTCACAAGCTCCCAACACGACATGTATTGGAAGTTGATCCTTTTGGTCATCGTCAATCATCTTCACTCCACCAAGATGGGGATATTTCTTGATTAGACTGTCATAGTGAGGGTTAGGAAGTTCCATCAAACAAGGTTTTTCTACTTTAGTCAGCTTAGTTTCCAAATTAAAGTTGCCTTCGGTATTGCTAATGTTCACATTAAAAACTTCCACTCGACGAGTTGCTGATCCCATTAGCATTTCAACTCTTGTAACTTTCGACTCACTAGGTTTCTTGTTTAACTGTTCGACTAACTTCGCAGATGCGTATGAGCTTCCGGAACCAGTGTCAAGCAGTGCCCTACACTTGGTACCGTCGACTTCGACAAGAACTACTGGGTAAATTGCTTTGTGATCGCTGGGGTGGTATGCTGCGGTCAAAATGGTTTTGGCTGGTTCACATATTGAGGTGTGGTGACGTCGGTTACAGTTCTGGCAGGTTTGCTTACTCCTACACTCAGATGCCCTATGACTACCACCCGTGCAGTTAAAACACAGTTTCTTGTCCGATAAAATCTTTCGTCGAGCTTCACAGGTGGTCACCGAGTCACAAGCAATGGACTTGTGATTTTTAGAGTCGCAATATACACACGCTCGAGATTTCTGATCTACTTGACGGGTCTGATAAGCCCTTGATGCATCTTTCCTTTCGTTGCTTGTCTTTGCTTCAATAGGGTTTCTTTCAGTCCAAGCGAACAGTGCTTTGACTAAATCTGTGAATGTCCAGTCTTTCCATTTGGGCTCAGTTCTGACTAAGTCCCCACGTATTCCAGGTACTTTGTTCAAGGTAAGTCGTACATATCCATTTACTTCTTGAAGTTTTCCCAAAGTTTCTAGTGACTGAACACAATAAACCAATTTCTCGTAGAAGGGGTGTATTTTCTCCGGTCGGGTACTTGTTATCGTTGGCAAATTCACGATTTCTTCCACATAGGAATTCACAATTTCACTGGTGTTTCCATATTTTTCTTCAAGGATTTTCTTCGCACTTTTGTATCCTTCGGTCGTGAAGGGCAGTCCATCTATACATGTCCGTATCTTGGGTTCTACTAACTCTTTCAGGTAAGAGAATTTCATCACATCAGGAATATCGGCCAACTCAATAGCCGCAGAAAATTGGCCCCAGAATCGCAACCAGTCGTGATATGATCCATTAAAAGGTGTAATTACAAGCTTTGGTAGCTTTGTAGATGAGTTTTTCCCTGCTTGAACTTCTTTAATTTCCTTTTGATACTGTAATTTTTGATTGAAAAGTTCCTGTTCGAAGGCAAGTTGTTTATCTCTTTCGTGTTTCTCGAAGGCTTGTTGTCTCGTATAATTTTCTTCGTCTAATAGTCGTTTATTTTCGTTTTCCAGGGCGCTTTCTTTCTGGCGTTCGTCTGCTTTAAGGCGCTGAATATACTCGTTTAACTGCTTCACTTTCTCGTCGGCCAAAGCTATATTTTCCTCGATTGATTCCCCCCATGCTGCGACATTCTCTTCGGAGTCGCCTTCGATAAATTTCTTTTCTTCGATTAGTTGTTTCAGGTCACTTATAGCCAAAATAATCTTTGTTATTTGACCCTTTTGTCGAATAGCGACTTCTTCATCGTTTGTTTTAAGTATATCATCGGTTTTCTTGGTCGTAAAATTGAGTAAACGTAACTTGCCATCAATTTCGTCGAGTTGTTGTTTTAATGCCATTATATTCGGAATTCCCTTGCTCTTGCTCGAGCTAAATCTCTAGTTACAATCCCGTTGGGAGGTGCCAGGTGTCGTAAATTGCCTCCTGTTGTGTTTACGACAATTCACAGTTTTATAAACACAGGTTTAGTTAACAATCTCTTTCCTTTTTTACTAGTTTAATATCTCGCCCTATATAACAATCTCCATTCGCACGCTCGCTCTCGTCACTAATGTTTTTACAACATGTGTTCGTTTCACCGGAAGTGTTGGCGCATGCCGCATTTCCGGCTTCTAAACTGTTAATACTGTCTATATATTTATATATTGTTAATCTCCAACACAATGAAGAAAGAAATAATGTATTGATATCTGTACCAAAATTGGGTAGAGAAAATTGATCTCTTGATATCATAATATTGCAAATTTGCAATAATTACTAATTGTATTATTAATTAACATTTTTGAGTTATTGTATTATACTAGAATCAATCATTCAATGATAGAAAAATACTTACATTCACAACTTTTAAGTTCATCAGAACAAACGTTTGAAGATCTGTTTATAAGATGCCCAAGAATCCAAATCGAAGATGACTGTTGACATTGAAATAATGACCATGACATTGAAATAATGCCCGATTATTGCCTGAATGTGTTCACGTTTTATCGTCGTCTTTATAGCGCATTTCTTCACCCCAGTGAATAAAGTTTCGTTTTAATGTTTTCTGTGAACCATTATTAGTTATTTTTAACCATATGTTAAGAAATATATACATAAAAGTAATCAATATTTATTAAATATTGAAACACATTTTCGAGTTTGTTCCGTTTGAATCACTAGTTCTCAAAAAACGCATCAATGTGCATAATCGCCACGTAAATGCGCTGCAAAATCATCTAGAGGTGAGCCTGTATCATTATTTTATATTAGGGAGGGGAGGGACAGCAGTATATTGGTAAAAACATGAAAAATATGAAGGATTCTGCCTTTCGTTACCATGGCAACCAAGCTGAAAATTATAGTGAGGTGGTTAAAAACAGCTCCTGAGAGAACAATTTTTTAAATTCAACCAAATAAATACTTTCACAACATCAATTACATGCCACAGTAACTATTTAGCTCAAAAAATGAAAATCGATTTTTTCAAATGATTCCATGTGTACCCCCCCCCCCCTCTTAAACACTGTTATTGAAATTTGATTCTGGATTACCGAGCGTATTTAATAGACCCACCACGTACATAATAAGCATTTAAATAATTAAGGACTTATCGCCTTGGTTTTCTCTTACGAAATGTTGTAATTGCTTACGCTCGGCAGCTCCCTATTCTTGACGTTGCATGACGTTCTTGCTTTTTCGTGCCCAGTCCCCGGCCGAGTTTTATTGAGGAAACATACTCAATCCATGTCAATCCGTCGGATGTCAAGATATTTCGAGCATTCGCCGACGCTTTATTTTTATTCGATTTTGATTCGATTTTATTTATTTTGTATTGCGCTCGCATGATTCTTCTCATGATTTAATACAGTTTTGGTTAAGTGTTTAAGGTTATGTGTACGGTTAAGGTTTTGGTTAAGTGTTTAAGGTTATGTGTACCCCCCCCCCCCTTAAACACTGTTATTGAAATTTGATTCTGGATTACCGAGCGTATTTAATAGACCCAAGTACATAATAAGCATTTAAATAATTAAGGACTTATCGCCTTGGTTTTCTCTTACGAAATGTTGTAATTGCTTACGCTCGGCAGCTCCCTATTCTTGACGTTGCATGACGTTCTTGCTTTTTCGTGCCCAGTCCCCGGCCGAGTTTTATTGAGGAAACATACTCAATCCATGTCAATCCGTCGGATGTCAAGATATTTCGAGCATTCGCCGACGCTTTATTTTTATTCGATTTTGATTCGATTTTATTTATTTTGTATTGCGCTCGCATGATTCTTCTCATGATTTAATACAGTTTTGGTTAAGTGTTTAAGGTTATGTGTACGGTTAAGGTTTTGGTTAAGTGTTTAAGGTTATGTGTACCCCCCCCCCCCTTAAACACTGTTATTGAAATTTGATTCTGGATTACCGAGCGTATTTAATAGACCCAAGTACATAATAAGCATTTAAATAATTAAGGACTTATCGCCTTGGTTTTCTCTTACGAAATGTTGTAATTGCTTACGCTCGGCAGCTCCCTATTCTTGACGTTGCATGACGTTCTTGCTTTTTCGTGCCCAGTCCCCGGCCGAGTTTTATTGAGGAAACATACTCAATCCATGTCAATCCGTCGGATGTCAAGATATTTCGAGCATTCGCCGACGCTTTATTTTTATTCGATTTTGATTCGATTTTATTTATTTTGTATTGCGCTCGCATGATTCTTCTCATGATTTAATACAGTTTAAGGTTACAGAACACATTTGAGTGTTAATTTTGCCTAAAATTTTTTATTGGTTTCCATGAAAGCATTAGACTAGTTCTACCATCTGACCATGTTTCAACGAAAAATGTTGAAAACTCGCGTTATTTAATAAAATACATTTCGCTGCAATAAGAAAAACATTGACAATGTAATATTCAAATTCAATTCTCTCCCGAGGAATTTTACGGTAATTACTGATTTTCAAACGAGTTGTGCTCCTGCGGGTTTTTATCACCAATTTTTCTCAAATCTTCTCAGGACATAGCTAAAGACGTCAGTTTCAAAATTGTGTTAGGCTTTTTTTTAATTTTGGATATTTAATAATGAAGAGCAATTCACTCAAACAATTCAGAAATATATTGCAGTCGTCAAAGAAATCGCCATATCAGCGGAAAGACAAAATAAACAAAAATTTCCGAACACTATTTTTTAGATCAACTATTTTGCCGTATAAAAATGATATTTTCATAAATATAACTTAAAACCAGCAGGAGTACAACTCAAAAGCGTAATGGTACCGCGATTTAAGATTTTCCTGAATAATTCTTACATTATTTTATTGTTTGTTAATTTTAAAACTTTACCATATTTTGCATGCACTGGCGAATATTTGGTGAAAATTTGATTAAAATCGGGCTGATATTGAGCGCGCAGTAGCGATTTTCCGCAAAACGCCAAAAAGGGTGTCCTGTAACCTTAATACGATGCAAAGGATCGACAATATTTTGAATAGCTTTATTTCTTTCTGGTGATATACATGAAGGCATTAATATTTAGATTTGCTGTTTAGTAGGTATTGAAACCAATATGATTTCATGAATTTGCAGTTCTAATAGCCCACTGATCGTCTTTATATTTATACAAGGAGTCAAAATGTACTTTTAGTATCTGAGATATGTCCATTGGTTATCATTGTATGTAATATAATACCGGCTAGCACATTCATATATTCACCTGCTCAGAATTTCTTTCTACAATCTTAAGGGGAATGGTCGTAATTTAGCAGGGGGGTGGGGAGGTGTAATTCAAAATTTTAAGGAATGATATTTTGTCACCCTGCCTTGCCATGTCCAGGAAAAATCATGCCCCTCCCTCCCTCTTGCTCGTTTCGGTAAAAATGCCCCCCCCCCCTCAACGACTTACTAAACCCAGCAGCAAAAGGAGAGAATACTGTAGTCCGGTACCATCAATTAAAATATTACACATTCAATAATTTTTTAACAGCGCTCTAAACGAAATAGTAAAATTTAGATACCAAGCCTAGCTTGAGTCTTGGAGAACGATGTCATCATTCGTTGATTCATTCAGTTTGTCATTCATATAGACTCCAGTTTCATTTGTCCCATCTCCTGTGCAGTATTCTTCAACAGCTATTTCAGAAGGACTGTTTAGTCTGATCCACACATGTAAAGCTATGGCTTCAACTTTGTTTTGCTTTTTGCTCTTCTTGGTGACTGCTAATTTATTTATTGTCTATGTACTTATTCAGAACATCTACGTGCTGTTTTGACAATGTCCCATCTTTTAACATTTTCAACCAGTCAAATTCATCGCATGTCATTTCATTTTCTCTTGCATTTTAGCTTGCTTTTCCAACTTTCTTTTTTCACTCATGAGAACCAAGTGTTGAAGATGATGCAAATAGTTGAGTACCTCATTTGCGTCCACAGGCCTACTCTGGGGCGGTAAATCGCCTTAAATCGCTGCGATATAATGCGATTTGGGGCGATTTGGGGCGATTTTAGGCGATTTAAGGAAAAACTGGGACTTTCAAGCACTGCGATTTAGTGCGATTTTAGGCGATTTAAGAAAAAATTCTAAATTTTAGGGATTGCAATTTAGGTGTTTTCAAAGGAATTGAATTCTATATTTTGCTCCGGTTTCCTCCCACAGGGCAAAATTGGCAGGGTGGGTTAGGATAAACACAGTTAGGAAAGTAATATCATATCCTCATTGTTGTAAAGATAAATAGTCTAGGCTAACATAAGTAATCATAGTACTTGATGTAATCGATCACTGAAAGGCCCCAATGTGGGGAGTGAGCTGAATAATAATGTAATGTTTCCACACACATATGCATTGTATGAAGCAAAATACAATTATTAGAACATGTATGTACATTTTATATAAAGCTAGGTTAACTATTGTATTTAACCTGATTCACATATAAAGCTCAATATTCATGAACTTTTCACCCATTCTTTATTTAGAAGCCATTGGGGTTCATCTTGGGGATCATAGCAGGGTGTTAGCTAGCCCATATGCTGTCCGTTTGACGGACTCTTCCCAATTGAGTGCTTTCTCAACTGGGTCTACTGGAAAATTAGCATGTGTCCCCCAAAATTTTAACGGTCGGGCAAAAATCAATGCGAAATTGGTCAAAACCTAAAAATTTCAATATTCTGTGAAAAATTTTTCGGAAAATTTTTTGGTGACCCCCAATCCCCCCCCCCGCCCCCCTCCTCGCCAAGAATTTTGGGAAAAATATTCAGCTAAGTTCAGTTAAAAGAGGGGGGTAATGGGGGGTATCGATCCTGAAGCACGA